GATTATTTGTAATTGGTCTTCCAATGTATAACACCGGTTACACCAGCATATTTGTCATCATTCTAAATCATTTTACAATGGGAGGTAAATAGCACAATTCCAATGGTAAACTTTTCTTAAAACGAGATAAAGAATATTTTTATCAATGTCAACAAAATAAATTATTAGGTAGGTAAGAGAAAATTGATTTAAATATTCTACAAAGCTCATGCCAGTTAAGACATTTCATAGTATTCAGATTTACATATTCTACAAAGGCTTATCTGCATTATCAGGTGACACATTTCTCTTCATAAGCTTTGCCTATTCTATAACACCGTTTAGAAAGGAGTACTACACTACAATGTCGGGTATTCTATAACGACCTTTTAAAAAGGTGTACAACACTACAATGTCAGGTATTCTATAACGCCGTGTAGAAAGGTGTAATACACTATAATGTCAGGTATTCTATAACGGCGTTTAGAAAGGTGTACTACACTACAATGTCAGATATTCTATAACGCTGTTTAGAAAGGTGTACAACACTACAATGTCAGATATTCTATAACGCCGTGTAGAAAGGTGTACTACACAACAATGTCAGGTATCACATTCTCTTCGTTAAGCTTGGACCGTCACGGTAGCTTAGTCGGTAGAGCGCTCTCTCCGTGATCAGAAGCTCGTGTGTTCGAATCACGGCCACGGATTAGCCGTTTAAAAAAATAGGTAGCAACTGTTCTTTCGCCAAGCGCTCGGCACTTTGAAGTGAAAGTTGCGGGTCTTTCGGATGAGACCTTAAAAACCGAGGCCCCGTGTCACGGTATGCGTTGGCACGATAAGGAACCCTCACTGCTCAATGTCCCTGAGTGCCGAATAAAGGTCTAAATTTGAACCCCTTCACCGGTATATGGTGACGTCTTTGTATGAGTGAAAAATTCTCGAACGGGACGTAAAACAACAAACAATCAATCAATGAAATGTATGGAGATAACGAACAGTATGCAAGCTCAAAGTCCATTAAACAATACAAAGTTTGGAGCAGAGCAAACACGGACCTCTAAAACATCAGAGGTGGGATCAGGAGTGAGCATCCCCTGCCAACCGGTCACAACCACCGTGTGCTCCTTGTCATGATCGGGTAATAACGGAAAAATCCGTCGACAATTCAGTGTGTAAATAATGGCCTAGCAATTAGTATGAAAAACGCCAGTCAGCATTTGACTTAATAATAAATTGTATTTGCTGACAAGATCATTGTATCGACCATTGAACTGACAACTTTGAACGAGACTGCTGATATTCTTGTTTCATCAACTTGTTTGTCAATAACTTACCTCGTTTTAGAAATTGTTGATAGGTAGAGCATTCTCTTGCGTATCGAATCAATTAAGAGATATAAACCCCGTATGCAGGTGACGAAGACATATCGCTGCATAAATAAGGGAAGTTGACGATTGAAAAGTTAAAGTCATCACGTTAATCATAAAGCTTGGTTGTAAGATTACCATTAACATCTTTTTCTGGTAAAATATCCAAATATGAAAAAGATGTGTCAGACTCTGTGGTATCTTTTATTTCAAGCTCACTGGGATATTCGTATCGACATACGAATGGAAATAACCGTTGTTAATTGACAGTACGCCGTCCATATATCTAAATGTCAAGTCGAAGGCAAGTGTTTTCTTCTTTTCGCGTACAAGATTTTGAACAAATTCTGCTTTATATGGATACAAAAATAGGTTTGCTAATAACGGGGCGCAAATGGTACCCATGCGAATTCCAATAGATTGTTGGAAGACCTGGTCTCCAAAAACCACATAGATATTGTCTATCATAAACTCAAGCATCTTTTTAATATCAACTTCAGAGTAGCTGTGTGTACAATCAGAATGTTTTTTAACAAAATAATTTTGCAAATGACCGATGACAAGGTAAATAAATTTACGAGTTCCATTTTTATTAAAAAGCAGCTCTCAATGATATCAAAAAGCCTGGACTTTAATTTATCGTGGGGAATGGTTGTATATAAAGTTGAAAAGTCTTAAGTTTTTATGTTGTTCATTTTGGTAAAATTTTGTGATTTTAAATTTTCCAAAAGTTCCTTGGAATTTTTAAGTATCCACATCTGATTTACACCACTTCTGAAATATATTTTGCACAGTACTCCTGAAGTTTCTCCTTCACTACTGTTAATATTTTAGTGAGGAGTAAAGAAAGAGGCTTGGTAGAACATTTTCTGGAACCCGCTATGTTTCTTTGTAAGGACTTTTATGAAGTTTCGGAATCCAGTATAGATATGGTAATTCAAATTCATGTTGGGAATATTAAAAATATTCAAAACTGACATATGATTTTGAAGAATTTCCTCCTTAGAAAGGGAGCTATGGGTATAAGTTGGATTACCACTTGTTGAATTAAATCCGAGTTCCTCTAAAATACAATTTAAATAATGAGCCTTGCAAATAAAGACAATGTTGTTACCTGCTTTGTCAGCAGGGACCAGTACATAGTGATCGTGTAATCTCTTTAATTCTTTTTTCACTTCTGAATTATTGAACACAGAAGGATAGTTGGTTTTCATTTTGTCCCACAATCGCTTAATGCGAAATTTTAGCATACATCCGATACATTTAATCCATTCTGAATCGTTAAGCTTGACCATTTCTACAATTCTGTTAAGAGTTAAGGGTTCTCGTCCCTAAATTTTACCCTATCTAAGAATGCCAGGTAAGAAAACCATTCTTCAATGTCACATTTTTTTTGTAATGGTTCATATATTTACTTGATTATGAATTGATTAAACTAACGTAATCTATTAATGACTACTTCTGAAAGAATACTCATTTTACTTGCCTTTATTTCACAATTTTAATTCATAGACTAGATGTCACGAAAACCATGCTGCAACAAAATGCTGCGTTCACGAAAACTGCATAGGTACTATTCATATTATATTTTTAAATAAGAAAATGAAATTGATAAGTTGGTATTTGAAAGATATCCTTCATGGTTATATATCCATCATAATAAGAAGCCAATACGTCATTGACATCATATATACAACAAGGGCTTCTTAATCCATAAGGGGGACTTTCTCATCAAACTTTTGCAGTCTCAACGTGCAAGTGCGTCGTGATATTTTATTTATCCACAGTTATCTTTTCCTTTTTCAATCACGAGAACTACTTAATCTTATGTACAATATTCATTGAAATGCCTGTAAAAAGCTTGTAAATTGATTGTCAAAATATACTTATTTCTCATTCCTTATAATGTTTATTGACATGCTTCTTAAAAATAACTATTATATGATTGTATAAGTATAGAATAATAACTGTTACATAATTGTAGAATTGTAGAATATTAACTGTTACATAATTGTAAAATTGCAGAATAATACCGGTAATTGTTACATAATTGTAAAATTGTAGAATAAAAACTGTTACATAATTGTAAAATTGTAAGACGATAACTGTTACATAATTGTAAAATTGTAAAACGATAATTGTTACATAATTGTAAAATTGTAGAATAATAACCGTTACATTATTATAAAATTGTAGAATAATAACTGTTACATAATTGTTAAATTGTAGAATAATAACTGTTATATAATTATAGATTAATAACTGTAACATAATTGCAAAATTGAAGAATAATAACTGTTATTGCTACATAATTTTATATTTGTACAATACGGACAGTTAATTTTTTCAGCTGACGCATTTGGAGATTTGTATTCAAAAACATGTGAGCATTAGAATTGTCTTACTTTGTAAAATGTATAGTTTAAGAAACAGTGATGATAGAATAAATAGTTTCTATTGCTCTCTCTCTCTCTCTCTCTCTCTCTCTCTCCTATTTACTCTGTCATGGTAAATGAAAAATGTGTTTTTCATATAGAGGTGACAATTTCTTTTAAAATTGTCTAGACTTGAATATGTTATTGTCATCGAGGCGAATATATCATATATAAAATTAAAGTTTCGTTTCGTGAAGAACTTTTATTTTCCTTCAAGTACTATTTTCATTTATTGATTTAGTGGTAATGTACACTTTCTTCTTTCAGTTGTTAATTGTCCTGTTTGTCATGGAGGCAAATGTCATAAAGTAAAATGTATTGAGTGTAAGGTAAATACACATGGCTGTTTGGAGGAGGGCACCTGTTATATACAGGTATATTTTCTTATTTTAAAGTCAGAGTTCAAAAATACAAAGTAAACAGTTATAAGGAGTATAAAGGAGTACAATGGATTAATTTTCAGGCGGGTCAGTGCCATGTTGGATCACACGAGAAATGTTGCGGAGATGATACTTGTATCGGTGAGAGATAATTTGAGACACTAATTAGGTAATAGAAGATTGTGTTATAAATGCCAATCATTAACAGCACCACTTCATACCCTCGCGTCAAAAAAGCAGTTTTCATCATTGCAGACCACGTTTTTTCGAAATGTCATACAACAACACACAATTTAACAAAAACACCTTCAATGAAACCAACAACATCGTCACCATCTGTATCAAGGACTACACCACAGTCAACATCTACAGACGCTGTCTCTACCACACTGAAGGAAATCAACACGTCATCAAATACACCGCATGTGAACTCACCAACAACAGGAACACCCATGATGTCCTCAAATGCAGCCATTACATCTGATGCCACTCCGAATGCAACAATTTCTTCAACTTCTGCTACTTCTCAAGGTAATTTATGCTTTGCTCTTGGGTGAAAGTAGTATTGCAATATATTCGTTATCTTCACGTTTCATTCATAAAGAGCTTCGGAGGCAGATTTGAACTAACCTCTGTATACTGGTTTTTAGAAAACACTATTGTTCATGGAATGCTTTCCTTATATAAACAAATGGATCTGAATATTGAAAAAAAGAAAATACAAAAGACATCTAGTAGAGACATGCTAGTAGTAATTCCATTCAAATAAACTACGAAGCAGCAAAAAATCAAAGCGTATCTAATTTAACCAGGTTTAAGTCAGCAAACTTGTAAAGTTTGTGGTGATTATGAGAATGGAATACCATGTGACATTCGCAGTATATACATTGGACCTAAGGTACAATGTCAGACTGGAAAAGATTTTTGCATGACGGACATATTTCATGACGTATCCGGAAATGAAAGCGTTTTCAAAAGGTCAGTACTTTATGTGTTCTAGTAAAATATATCAAAAAGATACTGCATCCAGTTATGGGTAACCCATTGTACCTTTTGAAACAGGTGCGTGAACGAGACAGTTTGCAGAACTCAGTGGTTATCTCAGACCTCCGACCAGGACCACTGCATTCAGTTCGGTAAAGTCCTGGTTAGTGGCGCTTACTCCTGTCACTTTTGCTGTACATCTGATGAATGCAATCAAGGACTACTACCAGATTCTACAACCCTCTATACCAGGCGATGAGATCTTTATCATTCTTTTTCCTTTAATAAATCCTTTATAAATTCAACAGTTTTATACTATAAAAAGTTTAAGACCGCTCACTATTTCCATTTTTAAAACAGTGAAATTTACTTTTTCAAAATGCATTTTACTTGCATCGTTACAGACCACAGCTTTTATTTTGTGTCGCTTATTCTGTCAGAAAGATTATTTTGATGTTCACACAGAAAGAAAATACATGCATGAATATGGGAAGTTAAATTGAAATGAAAAAGAGAAAGAGATTCTTTCAGAGCTCAGAATTAGTATAATAGAAAAGATATGATAATTTTGATTTTTAATTTATGGATATTTTTCTTATCAAACGATGCACACTAGCCTGGCATGATCTCCAAATTTACATTAGCATTTTTTCAACAACGCCGACAATGATAATGATAGTTCAATATTTATTTAGAATGACATATACAGCAATATTGCTATTGTCAGTATGATCCTGCATATAACGTACAAACAAATAAATAGTTTTTAAAGAAAATATACAAGTTCAACATGAAATTAAAAAGTATCGAGGTCTTTATAGCTATAGAATAATTTCTCTTTAAAACGAGAAAATAATAACAGATTTGGAAGTACGAGTTCTTTTTTAATTTATTTTAGTTATATCTACTTTTGAATGCACCCAGAGTTTTAAGCTTGAAAAACAAAATCAAGTAGTATATTTTATTTATTGTAAAAATTATTCAATTAATGTCAATTTGACTAGAAAAATAAGGACTTTTAACCAGTTTCATAAGTGATAAACAACACTTGTTTTCATATATATTTTTTATTCTTAGTAAAGAATGAATTACCTCCTATCTATAAGATCATGAAAAGTCTACAGATAATTGAATCTCATTTTGGGGCGCGTCATTTTAGGAAAACTTGGATTCTTCAAACCATGTTGTTTCATCCCAAATGAGAGGGTGACAGTATGATACAAGAATATCATTTATCTCATTTAAAGTCAACATTTCGCAAATTCTTTGGTCGATATAATGTCCCTGTTTGCAAACACAATCTGCCATAAAGTCGAATGATGACTGGTGTCTTTCACACAAATTGTTAGGCCATTATTTTCACACTGAATTGTCTAAGGATTTTCCCTTTGACAGGGGATGCTAACTCCTGCATGACACCTAATCTCATACCTGTTTTGAGAGGTCCGTATTAGCTCTGCTTATAATTTGTATTGTTTAAAAGAACTTTGAAAATCATCATTGTTAGTTATTTTCACTTTCATTTCATGAAAACTAAGATTTTAATGAAAAGAATATAGTACTACGAAAGCCTTTAAGGTTTTGCCAAAAGTCAAGATGTCCAAAAATTTATTTTTACAATAGCTCCAAAACTATGTGAGGTATAAAGTTAAATTTTTCACAGTTTATAAATATATCATTGATTAACAGATAGAAAGTATCACTTAAAACTTGCAAAATAATGACTTAAACGAGTCTTACTATTGATATTCTTGATTTTTAATCAACTTAATTATTCGGCAATAACTTGCCACGTTTCAGAAATTGTGCATACGTAGAGCCCTTGCGTATCGAAATCAACTGACAGACTAAAACCCGATATGCAGGTGATAAGGCTATATTGCTACATAAGTAATATATAAGGGAAGATGACGATTGAAAAATTGAAATCATCACGTTTATCATAAGGCTTTGTTGTTGGGTTACCATTGAAGTCTTTTTCTAGTAAAATATCCAAATATGAAACAGATGTGTCAGACTCTGTGGTATCTTTTTTTTCAAGTTCACTTGGATATATCGAGTCGACATTTGAATTAACTAGTGTTAATTGATAATACTTCGTCGATATATCTAAATGTCGAGTTGAGGGCCACAGCAAGTGTTTTCTTCTTCTTATTTATGTTTTTGAATAATTTCTGCTTCATATAAATACAAAAAGGTCTGCTAACAAGGGGGCGCAATTGGTACCCATGGGAATTCCAACAGATTGTTGAAAGACCTGATCTCCAAATACTGCATAAATATTGGCAATCAGAAACTCAAGCATCTTTTTAATATCAACTCCAGAGTACTTGTGTGTACAATCAGAATGCTTTTTAACAAAATAATTTTGCAAATGAACAATGTCAATAATAAGAATATTTATGAGTTCCATTTTTATTGAAAAAGCAGCTGTGTATGATGTCAAAAGCCTTGACTTTATTTCATCGTGGGGAATAGTTGTGTTAAAAAGTCGTACGTTTTGATGTCATTGATTTCGTTAAAATTTTGTGATTTTAAATTTACAAAAAGCTCCTTGGAGTTTTTAAGTATCCACTGTTGTACAGTACTCCTGAAGTTTCGCCTTCACTGCTGTAAATAGTGAGGAGTAAAGAAAGAGGCTTGGTAGAATATTTACTGGAACCGGCTATGTATCTTTGTTTGTAAGGATTTTTATGGAGTCATGGAATCCAGTATAGGTATTGTAATTCAAATTCATTTTGATTGTTGGGGATATTAAAAATATTTAAAACTGACACATGGTTTTGAAGAATGTTCTCCTTAGAAATTGCCACTTGCAGAATTAAATCCCAGTTCCTCTAAATTACAATTCAAATAATGAGCCTTACAAACAAAGACAATGTTATCACCTGCTTTGTCAGCGGGGACCAGTACATACTGATCGTGTAATATATCTAGTTCTTGTTTCACTTCTGTATTGTCGCAGACAGAAGGATAAATGGTATCTTTCATATTGTCCCTTAATCGCTTATTGCGCGATTTCAACATCCATCTGATATATTTAATCCATTCTGACAAAGTGCCAAGGTCTTCTTTTTCATATTTAACCCATCGTCTGGCGTAATCTTCCACTGAATTCATAATATTTATGAAATTATGACGCCAGTTGAAAAATCGAGGTTCCCTAAATTTAGACCCTCTTATAATAAATGATTTTAAGTCCTCATTATTAACTATATTTTCGTCACCAGTAATGACGTCCAGCAGGACCATAGTTGAAGGGTGAAGAAGAATATGGAGAATTATGTTTCAGATGCTCGATATCTAGGCACTGTAGTTTTTTGCGCAGTGGTAAGAGCGCTTGCTCTAGAGTCCCGGAGTAAGGAGTTGATCCTAACGTCGCAGGTTCGAATCCCACTGTGGAACGTGGAGACGGTCCTTCGGATGAGACCATATAAACCGAGGTCCCGTGTCGCAGTAGGTGCTGGCACGAAAAAGATCCCTCACTGCTCAATGTCTCTGAGTGCCGAGTAAAGGTCAAAATTTGCAGCTCTCCACCGGCAAGTGGTGGCGTCTCCATATGAGTGAAAAATTCTCGAGAGGGACGTTAAACAACAAACAAAGAAACAAACACATAATTAAAAAGTTTGGAAGGAATTGTCGATGTATATTCGTAAGAAATAAAAGGTGTGGACTTCACCTTGAAATATGGTGGAATACAAGATTGGACCTTTTTTGATTAAGAATATTCATTATCACAGATCCGAGCCTGTATTCTGGTGTCGAAGACTCCAAATATTGACTTTCCTTGACTTTTACAGATAAACTATTCAAAACTTTCAAAGGAACAAAGTAAAGTTTGGTGCGAATGTGATATTGGGAAGAATAGAGCTATTGAGCATAATTTCTAAACTGTAGTTCTGTGTTTCCCTTAAATAATTCTTTTTTTAAATGTATTTCACATGTAATAAATCAACACCACGACCCCATATTGATGAATCGTAAAAGAAAATAGATAAGGTATAGTTTTTCGAATTTCAGATAATAAAATATTGTCAATATAAGGGTTTAGACTCTCCTCCAAGTTACATGTTGAAAAGATTTTTCTATGTGTGTACATAGTTTGTGTCATTTTGGATACAGCGGTGCAAAAAATTGTTATTACTTAATGGCTACTAGTAACTAAAAGATACAGTTCCACGATAGAATTATCTTTATTTGACTTGCTGGTAAAATTTAACACATTATCCTTAATATCAATATATTGATTAGTACATCATATGCTCGGCAGGGACACGCTGCATTTGCTGTGAAGATCAGAACTATATAGGACTGGGCAATATCTCAATATTTTTGTCGTATTACATTTCAAACTTGAACAATATCACAGAGAAAGAGTTTAATATATTATATATATATCTACGGACAGTTTTGTTTAGCAAACGCATTCTTTGCTGTTGGCAAGTACGACAAAAACTCACACAAAACCCCACTCCAACTGAAATTCCAATCACACCATGGATCATTCTACTTCTTCAACTAGATCCACAAGGCTTTCTATTGTGCAAACTACACCACTGCAAGGACCCACTCTACCTTGGACGTTAATTCATTATTTTTTTTTAATTCTATATTTTACTTTTTAAATTATAACTAACACTAGTTCTATAAAGGCCTTTTGCTTCCAAAATTCATTGACTGAGATGGTGACTTCTTTTCAGCTGTCAAGTACTTATACTGTAGAGATAGTGATTGCTTCCACCTCCGTTGCACCAGCTGTTTGATAAATACTCTGCATTGCAGATTCCAAAATCAATGTTTTGTCGAGGTAAAAGTTTTACTCTGAAAATAGTCTTAATCTTCATGATAGGAATTACTTTTATTCATCTTATTTTTAAATTTCATTTTTTAGAATCACCCGTTTCATGAAGGTATCAAACATGTGTAGGGAAAAATACTTCAGAGGAATTGTGTACTTCACTAGAAAAATGGGCATCCATTAGGGTGATGAGAAACTAATACAAGATATATTCTTATCAATTGTCTAAGGTTTCTTCTTTAATTTTATATTGCTATGTCGTTAATATCATGGTTTCGCCGCTTTGCGAAAAGACAATAAGAATGTAAATATTTTAGGAAAAATAGGTTCATTATTCTTCTTTCTTTCAACAGATTCTGCATTTGTGAAATATGCCAGAACATCAATGGCACCTATAAGCACGGCAAGTTCAGGGACATTCACTATACCAAATATGAATGACACGTCACAGACAACCACAACAGCACTAACACACTTTGTGTCACATCTTGCAGCACTTTCACCGCA